CTGATGGTGAGACTGGTAAAGATGTTCTCATTGTCCACCACGGCGATGGCCATAGTCATTCAGCCGTTCCTGTGGCAGGATTTGTTTCATGGTGACAACCGGTTCGCGCTGGTGACGGCGATGAGCCTCAGTTTTTTGACCATAGGCGTCATGCTATCTCCGCTGTTGCTCAACTGGATCACAAAGCGATACGTGATCGCCATGTATTACAACACGGCCACGAACACATACACGATGATCACGTATAACATCCTGGCCTTGCGATGCGCGTTACCGTTCAAGTTCAACGAGCTTCGCAAGGCACCAGAGAAGCTGATCATGGCGAACGTCGTTGTTTCGCGCTACCCGTTTTTGCTCATCTCCACCAACTTCCTCGACCCTGCCACGATGCTCAAGTTTTTTCCCTACCTCGACGAAGAAGAACCTCCTGAAGGCGAGCGCCACGAAGATGACGACGAAGGCTTTGTCTAACAGCTGTTATTAAAAGATTTTTTTCTCTAGAGGCATTGTCTTTCGTGTAGTAAAATTCTTATATTGCTTTTACAGGAGTTTCTTTATGACTCGGACTCTGCCTTCACAAAAGTACTTCAGTCCAACTGTTTGTTATCGTTTGATTTATTGTTTCAGACATTATGCCACCATGATCAAGCGAACCAAAGTTAACAACGGCGTCGAGCGTTCGCTGCGAGCCTTTGACAGCGTCATCAATGAAGCCAAAGGCTATTCGAAGCTAGATTCGCCGGATGACGGATTTCTCGACAGTCAGGTACTTGAATTTGAGTATTAAAGTATCTATTTAACTTTTCTATGGAAGAAAATGCTCTATACAATAATATACATATTTGCACCGCCCTGTTTCTAAGCCTTCCCTTTCATAGTTGCCATCGGACGTCAGTGCATTACTGTTCTATGTCGAGAATTTGGAGAATTTTTTCGGACTGCTTTTGTTCTCTGCCTGATGTTGCTTCTTCAGTATTCTTTATGGATGTTTTTCTATCATTTCTGCAATACTCATAGATTTGTGTGATATATATAACAAACCCTAAAAACATTATTACTATAAACGTTGATGGCGACTTGCTTGCGCAGATTGACTTTGCATGCTTCTACCTCATTTTCTGAAATGAATTCTCTGCATCTGACAGAACTGATCGAACAGTGCCTGATAGCATTCATATATCCATTAACATCCTCTTTAGTGATTCACATTCTGCGTTTGACATTTTGCATCGTTTATCACGCGTTCGTTCAACCGTAGCTCAATATGATTTATTAAAACCAGTTAGAGCTGGTATACACCAACACAGTTGAGGATTAGTCACACAAGTCATTACTCTATGAATACAACAACGCTGCACCGCTCCCTTTCTTCTAGGAGCCTAGGTAGTCAGTAAACAGACCAAGGCCCCATATTATCTGTGCATGTACGGTTGTTTGATGTACGGTGTTATCTTGAATACCGTATTTGTTCGTGGTATCATCGCATAGTTTGTGGTATACGTACTCATGCCACCAGCGTACATACTTTCATGTCCTAGGAACGGAGCTTCTTGGATGTTCCTCTTTCCGGCATTTGCCGATCTCTCTGAAGGTGTAACGAGGCAGTTTTATTTGTCATGCTATAGGTCTGATAATAGTTATCCTAATTTTCGTCGACATTTCTTCATTTGTTCGATTGTGATCACTACCTGCTGCGGTTGATTCTCATTGGTGTCATGAAATTGCCACTTGCTGACTTGGACGCAGTTGTTCTAACGAAGTTGCAAGAACGACCTTTAAGCCGCATCCACCAACTTTGGCTTTGACACATAATGAGGATTAAATAACGGGACCAATTTTGGAATGACTATTCTCTTCCTGGCACAGGTGACCTGTTGGATGTTGGGATTAACAAAAGGTGGTTGATCCTGTCAGAGAAACTGCTTGAGCATGCACCACTTATTTCAACTCGTGAGCTTCCCACCTTTGGGCCAAACAGCAAAAGTCAACCGAGAGGAACAAGGTAGAGGCAAATCATCTTTCATCTTTAGAAAACGTATTTCTACTACGCAGTAACTGGCGCTTTCTAGCAAAGGTGTTGTAAAGTTGCAAATACAGCAGACGTCTACGTAATGACCACACAGAGACACGTTTTGTGTCGTCAGTAATATTTTATATAATGTTGATCTGTTCTGACTGCTAGCAATTAGCATATTTAAAATGATAGGCAGCTTTTGTTTTACATGCCAGTAGTATTTCAGCATTACTATTTACTTTTAGTACATGTGAGTGATATTACGAGCAACGATGCTCTTGTTTGAAACACTGCTTCACTCTGCCGTGTTAATAATCTTTCTGTTAGTCACATTCGTTTAGTGTTAACAGTGACGTTAATGCATTAATTTTAGACATTAAGCATTAATGCAGATGCAAGCAGTGCTTCTAATAATAGTTCATTTGGTAGATTTATTACATACTTCTGGGACAGTATAATAGTAGTACTACCAGCAATGCTACAAGCAGGAGTACAAATATTTGTGTAATTCTACTGCCGTTGCAGTAGTTGTCATTGCCGTTGTAGACCTAACAGTACTATTAGTAGCACTGCCGATACTATAAGCGGTACTTATACCATTTAATAATGGTCCTACTGTTATTATCAGCAATAGTAGTACTACCGCTTCTAGTAGAAGTTAATAATAGCTGTATCAGCTGTTCTACAAGAGACAAATTTTTGTTCCCGCTGCAGTCCTATTAGCACCGTTCCTACAAACCTAATCAGTAATGTGGCTTCGACAAGTTGTAGCGTTTTTAGTTGATCTATAACTATTGCTGAAAATCAGTATCATTAAAAGTTGTAATACCAATATTGTCTTTTAGTA